TGGGAGAGCTTCCCATAGCAGTTCCTGAGTTCCTTTCTGTACAGACTCTTTGTTGAGCATATAAGTTTCCCTTGATTGTTGGGCAGAATCTACTTGGGACACATCACAGAATCAGAGTATCTGTGTCTTTAGTTTCTGTTATTTCTGAAGAAGGTGATAGTGAGCACAAGTGTGAAAATGATAAAATAGCTCCTATTTTTTCAAGCACACATTGTATGACAGGCACAGTGCTAAGCATATGCATATCTTATTTCTTTTTAAAAATATCTTTCCTGAAGTGTTAGTGAAGGTACAACATACCACAAATATTCAATATGAATAATTTAGTAAATTTTGATATATGTATATATCCATGAAATTATCACTAATAATCAATAATGAACATGTCTATCACCCCCAAAAGTTTCATGGTGCCCTTTTATAGTCACCCTCTACTGCTTCTCCCTGATCCACAGCCTCATTTTCAGACAACTACTTCCATGCCACTATAATTAATTTGTATTTTTTAATGTTATATAAGTGGTACTGCTGGGCATGGTGGTGCAAGCCATGCCTGTAATCCCAGTACTTGGGAAGCTGAGACAGGAGGATCACCATGAATTGCGCTACATAAGAGAGTTCACAGCCAGCCTGTGCTACATAGTGAGATCTTGTCTCAAAAAAATTTTTTATATAAATGGTGTCATACACAATGGCCTTTCTTTCACCTGACTTCTTCACTCAGTGCAACTATTTTGAGATTCATTCATGCTATTATACATAATAATATAGTGCATTTCCTTTTATTACAGAGTATTTCATGGTATGAATTCACAAAGTGTTTATCCAGGCCCCTAGTAACAATCGTTTGAATCATTTCCAGTTTCAGAGCACATTAGAAGGCAGTGGTAATAGCTGAGATAGTTTATAACTTGTGGTCCTTCGAGTGGAATTTCAGAAAATCCACTTTCTATAAATTGTCAGAATTGAAGTTCAGTCCTTCTCAAGAGACCAGCCTCTTTTCATTCAAAGTGCCTGGGTCGAAAGGCTTTCAAGTTTCCCACTCAGTGCTGTTTCAGAGCATTCATCACAAGAGTGGAGTGCGAGGGCTAAGTGAGCAGTGGCCACAGAAGGCTGGGTACAGCACACCACCGGGATGGGCTAGCTTTCTAGTTCCATTTCCCGGCAGCTCTAGGTGTGAGGGCAGTGTCTTCCTCAGTGACTGGAATTCTTCAGGACTGGCCTGCTTTGCTTCTGACATTACCTTTGGTGCAAGTCTGGCTGGCCAGGGACCTTCTTATTCAAGCTTTTCTGCCTCCCTCACTCGGCCCCCAGCACAGGGCATCAGGCTGCTCCAGGGAAAGTGTGGGAGCTGAAGAGGTTCAGCCCTTCATGGCAAGGGAGCCAGAGGGGCAATGCCAGAGAAAGGTGCGGCCCTTGGAGGCAAGCTCCACTTTGGAACCACTGCCCTAGAGCATGGCAGCAGAAGCCTCTTTTCTAACAGTTCTCACAAGTGCTGAAGGTGTAGGGTGGTACTACAGCTAATCTCAAGGGACAGTGACCACCATATGCTCTTCCTGTAGGACTTTGCATACTCAGTAGGCTTGCCCTGAGGCTACAATGATCAGCTCCTGGATTTCAGTCTATCAAAGAGCCATGCATGAGTATGTACTGGCCTTGCATTAGGACTGTAGCCTTACAGAAAAAGAACTGTGCCTTCACCACATTGTCTCATGCTGACCTAGCCCTCTGGTTCCAATACATTTTGAACTCAAGGTCATAGGGCCAAGATTCACCCAGAACTAGCTTGAAAATCTGTACTCTTACTGCCATGGAGCAAGGGTAGAAATAAAAGTTCCTGTGAGTTTGGGTGACAGATGGTTAGCTAGAAAGGAGCAAGAGTTGTACTGCAGTCAGAAGTAAAAGAAATATGAGCCTACAATATATGCGTCGGGAGCACATTGTCAGCAGCGTGTCACCTGTCGGCAACAGCATGAAGGAAGAAAGGTCTTACCAGGTCCCAGCGAGTTGTGCTTTACTTTTTCCTGAGGTTTTAGCTGCACAGAATTGGTCTTTCCTACAGTTTTCAAAAACTGCAAAGAACTAGTCTAGCCATGAACACACACACACGCACACACACACACTGCAGAGGGTTGTATGTGTAAGAGCATGGGCTCCACATCAGAGACCTGAGCTACACAGCCTCAGGTAAGTCATTGGCTGCATGTATCTCTGTTTATCATCTGCAAAATATAGAAAATAACTCACTCTTCCTCAGGCTGGTTGTGAAGGTTAATATCATGCTAAGTGGGGAGAACATATGGCACTTATCATGGTAACAGTTCTGATCTTACTCTAGTGGGGACATTCTTCTGCCTTAATACTTCAAACAGTAAAGTTCCCCCCAGAGACCTTCAGGCGAGAGCGGAGGATCACGAGTCCTTTGTGAGTGCCTAGAGTTTTCCCAGGACAGCAACCAGAAGTCATCTCTGCTCAGTGCTGTTCCAGTAAGATATTGGCATGTGGATAGAGATTTCTCTGCTTGAGTCTATGAAGACAGACATGAAGGAATTGCCTCAAATTCTAGAAATTATTTACACAAGAATATTTTTACTGCACCCAGAACAAGTGCGTTTTTACCCATGAGACTAGAGATTGCTCCAACTTTGAGAAACCAAATCAGACAGAATGTAAGGATATTTTTGCATTTGTTTCTGAAGGTAAATTTTCTTTTAGCAGCTGTAATTCTCTGGGATGTCATATCAAACATCCACATATCTTGTGTCATGCATATATATATATACATGTACCATCTAAACTTGCTATGAAACTTTTGAGATATTTTCCAGAGTAAAGACCCAGATCTGAGACCATAGGGTAGACTTTAGGATGCCTCATTCACTTTTTATGGTTAAAATTGTAACATTATCTCAGCATCTCTTCATGTGCTATAATGTACAATCTTCACACACATTTTTTGAATGACCAACCCAGCCACTCACATCTGAACAAAAGATGACAATTGCTGCCATTGACACCCTCAGACCACATGTACAGTAATTGTGCTGGTCTTCACTTTTGGGGGTGAAAATCTTGATCATGTTCATGACAACTAATCACTTTCTGTGTTCTCTGACACCTTGGTTTATAACAAGTTTTGGCTGGCAGCCCATCTGAAAGTGAGGTCAGTCACCTGTCTATGGAGTATGTGTACACGTACTTGATTTCCTTTCTGTTGATTTAAAGATCATTTCTCACCTTGTTCTCTAGTTTTGCAGCCAAACTGAGTACAGGGATCTTATTGATTTGTGTGTCCTGGAGTTGGGTTTCTCTCAAAGAAAATGAACATGCTCAGATCAGTTCCATGGAGCATGGAGCAAGCAGAGTAATGAGCCATACATCCAGGTGCATCCACGCAGAGGCTGCAGCTGCACCTCTTTTTTCTTTGGGTGCAAGCCAAATACTACAGTTGGGCTTAAACTGATGTCCAGGACAGATTTCTGGAGCTTTTACTATGAAACATAATTTCAGTTGTTGACCTGACTCACATGAGTTCTGCTAGCAAAAGGAACTCTCCTGGAGAATGCATACAACTCAGCCTACCTGGAGTACTAATTGTGGAACCAGTAAACTGGAAATGAAAGAGGTTTCCTACTCTATTCCATGTGTGTATCGTTATTGGGTTCATGTGTGGCTAGGGACAGAAAAAAATATCCTTATTCTGTATTTAGCTTTGTAAATGGCATCATGGTTTTGTAAACCAATGCGGTTTTATTCTTTAAGGTTAATCAAAATTGACAACTTGGGGGAGAGATTTGAATTATATTTTTGTTTCTGTTGGGCAAATAACTCCTGAATGACCCCTTAACATTCTTGTTGGAGTATTGGACTTGGTATTGTTAAAACTCATCAATAAATTGTTATGTTTCGGGGTAAAGTTTGACCTAATGGAATGAATATCCATGTTTATGCAGAGTGAGTATATTCTTTTTTTTTTTTTTTTAAGATGGAGGACACTCAGACTGCCTCCTCTTCCTCTCTCAAAGGAAGAGAAAAATGATCATTAAAGATAATGACAATTTCAGTGAAACAACACTAAGAACTGAACTCACACTCACATTTCATCTTCATGGTTTCTGGTGCCCTGTGTATTCAGAGATTCTTCTAGGAACTAGCTGTAGAAATGCTCACTGAAAATATAGTCCTCCGGAGTGTATTGTATATTTCTTATCTAGAAGGACACAACCAGCCATTCCAAGTCCTGAGGCTGTGAGCATGACTTTTGCCCTTTCCTTGATTTACAAAGAAATTACATTCCATAAAACTTTCTAATCACAGAGTTTCTCATGTTAAAAACAAAAAAAAAAAAAGAAGGACCTGCAGAGGTCTCTCATTTTGAGGTGTTTTTTTTTTTTCTTTTAATTATTTTTTCAATGATATGAAAAGCCTGCTGGCTGATTGTTTGTTGTTTTTAAATGAAACTTCTATGAAAAGAGTCAAGGTAGAATTTCCTCTCTATATTTTGTTTGCTTCCTTTCTTCCCACTTCTCTTTGCTCATCTTGCCAAAACTAACGTTTCTCTATGGCTTTGGTATGCTTTATCCTCTAGCAGGACTTTTGATCACTAAGATTTAAAGTTTGGAGTAGGCACTGGTGGCCTTGAACTTCCAAAGGAAAATTCTTAATCTTCTTAATGTCTTGTTTTTTTGAACATGCCATCACTCAGTAACGTGGCTTCCTTTACATAAGGTGCAATTCACCAAGTCAAAGTAGTGTTGAGCAAATATCTGGTGAATATGAAACAGTGTAGGTGGAGTGAAATAAACTGCTGAGAAGTTGTACATTCACCACACATGACTCTCAGAACACTACATGTAGAACTGCCTTAGGAACTTGGATGGGGCCCTACCCAACAAAAGAGCAATTCTCTCATCCATAATACTAGTCATGTTGGTGTAGCAACTCTTAAGGAAGTACTACAACTTTTCCCTTTTCCCAATCTGTTATTCATTCTTTTTCAGAAGGAAGAGAGTTCTCATTTCCTGGTTATTGTGCAAGTATCTTAAGCACAAAACCGGTAAGACTAGTGTCCATGGCTAATCTCCACATAGCCAACATCTGTGATTCGTTCCATCTGAACTCATCCATGCAACCACCTGCAAGTTCAGACCACCGATCCTGAGATGAGCTAAGTGTGTAGATAAAGTAAGCAAGTTCATTCCGTTGCTTTAAATCTACTATTGGGGGAAATTATTCTCTTTGAAAGTCTTTACTAGAGTATCTTGAGACTATAATAAGACTTCTTTAAGAAAAACAAGAACTGCAAGAAAATAGGGCCTACTAGAAAGCCTGTAAGAGTCAGTTCACTCTTTTTACAAACAAAAAGTAGTTTATTTTGCTGAACTAATAAGATCAAAAGTTCCTAAAATCCCAGGATTCTTTTATTCTGATGTGACTGGGCTTTTGTGTTGCCCAAAACAGAATTCACTCAGGTTAGTTTAAGCAGAAAAGAAGTTTATTCAAGAATACCAGGTAGATCACAGAAACTCAGTGAGGATCAGAGAGCAGGCTCCAAGCCATCCAGGAACGATGCTTAGCCACACCACAGAGGATAATTTGGGTGACACTGCATTGTCACTATTGTTTTGTATGTGTAAGAAAACTAGAATGGACACCAGCAGCACTCCCAGTGCTGATCTCGAAGCTCTAGTTGCCTCCACCATCACACTGATTTCTCTCCACACAGGTAGTACCTCAGCTTGTTCATTTCCCAACCCAAGTGTAGTGGATTGATAACTGGTGGTCAACTTATAACCCCCAGCTGAACTGAGTAAGCATGGTGCTGGGTGTGGGAGGCCCACCTGGGGATTGTTGCCAGCAGCATAAGAGGCAGAACTGGAGAGGGATAGAGAGGCTGTTGGGAGCTGAGAATGGCTGTTGGGAGCTGGTAGAAGCTGTAAGGAGCTGTTGGTTCTTTTGGAAGAGCTTGTCATGCTGCCTTTCCTGATGAACATGGCTGTTTTCATCCTCCAAGGAGCTCAGGACCTTGCTGGTACTGAGAATGGCTTTGGTTCACTGTGGGGGGGCTTTGGTCCTCACCTTGAGCATTACTTCCTGGCTCCGGAGGGGAAGATGGTGCACTGCCAGTCTTCTGAAGATGCTTGCTGCATTGGCTTCCTTGATGGGAACTCGGCCATCTTGATCATTGGAGGAGGTCGGGACCTCACTGTTGCCAAGGATGGCTGTGGTACCTTTTGGGGGAGCTCTGGTTCTTCTGAGCATCACTTCCTGGCTCCAGGGCAGATCCCTCAGCCTGCTAGCACAGGTCCTTCATCCTGCTGACAGATATTCTAGATTCCACCTTTGGGCCTTCCCAGTGCAGATCTGTGAAACAGGCCTGCATGAGATATTGTTATGGGCTCTGGGCCTCCAGTTGGATTCATGGGAGGCATTGTTTTGGGCTCTAGGTCTTCAGCTGGACTCATGTAGGACACTAGTGTAGGATCAAGGCCTTCAGCTGGATTCCTGGTCTATAGTGTATGGACAAATTTCCTGCACACTCTTATATATCATTCTTTGGGTGACTATTATAAGTAACCTTACAAAATATATGTCTTGTATTATATTGTTCTCCCTTGCCAAATAAGCCCCAAATCATAACAACAAGACTCTCACAAGTTGTTCTAATTAGTGGGATCCAGTTAGCCCTACCTACAAGGGACTCCAGCTGTGCAAGAGTTCTTTCTAACTTCTACTTTGGTAAAATTCAACTTACAATGTGGGCTATCAGCAAAAGATAAGGAGTATTTTATAAAAATTAAAGCTTTGTGCTTCAAATAACATTACCAAGAAAGTGAAGACAACCCACAAACAGAAGAAAGCTTTGCAAATCATATAAATAAGAGACTTATATTTCTTCCATGTAAAGAAATTTGACAACTCAGCAAAGAAAAGACAAATAACTGAACTAAAAATGGATACAGATTCAGAATAGATATTTCTCTAAAGAATGGCTAATAAACATGTAAAAGGTGCTCAATATCCCCTCAGGGAAATGCAAATCAAAACTACATGGAAATATTATGAACTCACTAGGATGGTTTTGGTTTTTAAAAAAGGCATAAATAGCACATGCTGATAAGGATATGAAAAAAATGGAATCTTTAAAAATTGCTGTTAGAAATGTAACATGATACAGCCCCTTTGGAAGGCCATTTGACAGTTCTGCAAAAGGTTAAGCATGCAGTTGACTGGAAGTTTACTCCTAAATATATATCCAAGAGAATCCAGGCATAAGTCTACCCAAAATCTTTTACAGGAGGGCTCACAATAGCATTGTTAAAAATAAACAAAAAGTAAAAATAATAAAAATGTCCATCAACTTATTAATGGTAAAACAAAATAGGTTTATACATTGGAATATTATTTGGTCATAAACAGAACTGAAATACTGAAACATGCTACAATATAGATGAACCTTGATGACATTGTGCTAGCTGAAAGAAGCCAGTCACAAGGGGCTAGATATTGTATGATTTCATTTTTTTGAAATCTCTGTGTATGGGTTTTCTAGGGCTACCATGACAGTACTATAGACAGGGTGTATGGCTTAAACAACAGAAACTTATTTACTGTTATTTGGGCTGGAAATTTAAAATCAAGGCATCAGCAAAGTTGCTCTCATCTGAGACCTCTCTCCTTGGCTAGTAATTGCCCATCTTCTCCCTGTATCGTCAATGACCTTCTCTCTGTAATTGTCCAAATTTTCTCTTCTGTAAGGACACCATTCATACTGGATTACAGTCCACCTTTGGACCTTATTTTCACTTAATAACCTCTTTGAAGACCTTGTCTCCAAGTATGATTATATGTGAGGTTCTGGGATTTATGATTGCAACACAGGAATTTCAAGGAGACATGGTTCAGCCTGTAACAGTCAAATAATACACAGATAAAGAGAGATAGATGATAAATAGATTAAAAATTGCCTGGAGCTGGACGATGGTGGGTATTTGGAGAAATGATGGCTAATGGGTCAGAAGCTATTTGTTGGGGAGATGAAAATGCTCTTACACTGATTGTGATAATCGTTGCAAAATTACTTCATATACTAAAAGCTATTGCCCTACACATTTTAAATGGGTCAGTTGTATGGTATATGAATTACATGTTAATGAAGCTGTTACTAATAAAAATGATAAAGTTGGAGTACAGAAATACTAGATGGCCACAAATGATAGTTGTCTGTTACAGGATATTTTTGATAGCACCCATCTGAAAAATTACAAAGAAACCAGGAAATACCAATCCATGATCTCCATGGATGAAGCCGTTTAAGTGTTCCTCCTTCACTCTAATCTGAAATCATTTCATCATGCCCAGTGGAAGCACTGGTGTTGGCTGCTGTTTTTGCCATACTGTCCATGGCCTTCTGGATTCTGGGAACAAGGGTGACCTGGCTGTGACTAATGTCATCCTTTGATGTTCAGGATGAGTGTGATCACTCTTGTGAGTGCACTTTTCCTTGGCAAGAACTCTGAGTACTTTATAGTATAATTAGGGTCATCTCAGAGATACAGTTTTCTCAGACCTGGGAATATATTATAAAAAATGCATTCAACTGGGAATTAAAAATGTTTCATTTATGGCAATCCATTTGGGACTCTTCCTATCTCTCAGAAGCTATTCCTATTCTCCACTCCCTCATTCCTGTTCCCCTTTCCTTTTCTCCAATAAATTTTCCTACTCTTAAGAGAATGTTTGGCTTGGAAGGAAGCTGTCACTGTAAGACTCAACAGTGTCTGCCCTGGCAATTTAATCCCCATTTCACCCTTTTGCATTACTGAGGCTTTTACTTTTCATCTTACCAACTGGCTTGTGGTGTTTTAAAGTTTCTTCTCCCCATAAATTTCTTTGAGGTTTTATCGTTGCGCTAAAGCCATATGTACAGAAGCAACTCCTTGGTAATGTGGAGAGATGGAGGAGAAGGATCCAGGAAAGGTTCTTCAGGTATCATATTTTGGATTCCAACTCTTCAAGCACTGAGAGAGGAATCAGAGGAAAAGTGGGGAGAAGTAGGAAGAGAGGAGGATGCCTCAGGCAGAATGAGCTACCTGAACAAGGTCACAGGATGCTTGACAGTATCAGGAGCACAAGAACAGCTGTGAGTAGTTTGATTTGGCTTCAGAGCAAGTTATAACGTGGGAGTGAGAACCAGCCAGATGAAATCGGATAGAGCCAAGGGCAGGAGGCAGAATATCCAATTAATCTTACTTAATATTATGGTCTCAAGGTGCATCCATTTGCCTACAGATAGCTCAAATTTATCCTTCTGTATGGCTGAGTAGTGCTATATTATGTATGTACAGTCGTCCCTCACTATATTGCAGTTCACTTATTGCAGCTTCACTGTATTGAGGGTTTAAAAAAATATCTAATTCTGTATCATGGAGTTTTCACTATATCGTGGGATTTGGGGTATATAGGTATTATATAATATTCATGATTTTAATTATTTTTGCCTAAAAAATTTAAAACAATGTAAAAAATGTTAATTCAAACATATTGAAGGAATATTAAATCGAAATAAAATACTCTACAGTATGTATTTCATCAGCGGATGAATACCCTACTGTACACAGTGGAAATGCAGTATGCCACTACCGCCAGCCTGAGCCTGAGTGGCTGCTTATAGGTGGAGAGGGTGCGCGGATTCGCCGCAGCTTCGCCACGGCCCCACCCGCTACATGAGCAGTGCAGGCGCTGGGCTTGGCTCAGCTGTTGCTCCACGCTGGGTCCTGCGTGCCCTGCTCCCCAGCCCGCTCCCTCCCTCCATCCCCACCTGCCCATCCTCCCCTTCTGCCCCCATAACCAATTCACCTGGGGTCCCCAGGCACCGCCCCAGCTGGAAGCTAAGGCTTTGGGAAGAAGGGTGTCTCCAGGAAGGCGCACAGGAGTGAGGGAAGGCTTTATAGGAGTGTGGGAAGGGTTTATAAAGCCTTAATATATATATATAAATAATAAAATAAATGTAACGCTGCTACCTCGTGGATTTTCACCTATCGCGAGGGTCTCTGGAGCATAACTCCTGCGATAGGTGAGGGGTCGCTGTATATAGCACATTTTCTTTATCCATTTATCTGTTGACAATGTAAAAACCACTTCCAAGATTTAGCTAGTATTACTTGTGCTGCTATAAACGTGGG